ATCTTTAGACAACATACACAAAAAACACAGATGCTAATGGATTAGATAAACCGCAGAGAGTACACATTTTTATTCTATAATGCAGAAATTCTAAGCTTGAAATCTGTGCTTTAGTCATAGCAATGAAACGGGGTAGGAAAATTATTGTACCTTCTACAACGATCTCCCCTTTCAAGCTGTCTTTCTGGATCACTGAAAAATGAAGTGTCCTCTTCAATGAGAACATGGAAAAATTGATAGGCCTACTTTAAAAAACAAACTGAACACATTGATATAACAACCGCTGCACACCACTGTGTACTGAGACGTAAATTAACTAACAATCTAATCTGATAACTTTCTGACAGGAAATTTTAAAACGTGGTCCGCAAAACCGTCGAGAATTTTTTACGGCTAAGATAAATAATATGTTAAAATACGAGTAAATAGCAAATAAACAGCAACAGCAGCATCAAAAAAACTTATAAATTACCTTCTGACAATTCACGCCTGCCCGCCAAAACTCCTCACAAACGACCTCCGTGGCGCGACGGGGAAAAAAAACCGTTACAGTGCATGGGGATACGTAAAGGCGCATGCGCGTTTGGAAAACTATATTATATATTATTATAATAAAAATAAGACTATTTTGGATAGATTTGTTTATTATGGAATAAATAATTTAACTGAAATTAGTTATAATTGTTTAATGCTCACTTTTAAAATCAGGGCCGAAGTTTCTTCCCAGTCCGAGCCCGTGTGCCGTTACTATAGTACCTGACGCTATAGAATTGAACTCTTAATTTATCGGATGACCTGGAACATACAGGCATGTTTTAATTATCATTCCTGTTGGAAGATCGTTCAGGCTACATTTGTGAGCATTTAGACTAATCATTTTCACAGATGAATAAAAATTAAAATGAAGTGTAACTTCCCAGTTGGTGTCCGAAAAAAACCGGTCGTTTGGCGCTGTCCTGGCTTCGTATCACTGATGATACCGGCCTGTGGGGCTGTACCACAGGTATAGTGGGCCAGTGTTCTGTGTCATGTGCAAAACTATCACATGTATTACTTCCGTGATCAAACTCATCACCATTGCTTTACACTGTGAAAAAATAGCCAACA